GTTTGACCTTAGGCTGCCCTACAGGCTGCTGGGTGGGGCTGGGTCTTGGTGCTAATGATCCAATCATGATGTCAGCCTCCAGGAAAGCTCATGTAGATTAACACTCCTGGAATGTCCGCCACTAGCTTTTATGTCCCCTGAGTGAGCTGCAGCCATCTTCCACGTCCCCAGGAGACCCTCCAAATCCAGCAGGCAGGTCTGGCCCAGGTTCCTATGAAATCACTGCCTCTGTCCTTGGACCTGGTGCACATGAGTTTCCATGTACACTTCTCAAGTGAATGGTGTCTCTGTTTTCCCCAGTCCCGTGGGGCTCCCAGAGCCAAGCCCCCGAGCCTTCAAAACCAGATGTCCTTGGGTCTCCTTCTCTTCCCAATGCTGGGACCCAAGCTGGGGATCCTGATGTGGGGCTTAGAGCTCTCACTCCTGTGGGAGGGCCTTGGCAGCCTAACTATTCTTCAGCTTGTGGGTCGCCCACCCCGGGGGGGGTATGGGGCCCAGTTATATCGTGCACACACCCCTCCTACAGTCCTGCTGTGGTTCCCTCTTTATGTTTCCAGTTGCAAAAGATCTTTTTTGCTAGGTTCCAGTCTTTTTTCGATGGTTGTTTAGCATTCAGTTGTGGTTTTGTTGTAGTCACGAGGAGAGGCAAGCTTGTGGTCCTACCACTCCGCCATCTTGACTGGAACTCCTTGTGTACAATCTTCTTGTCAGAGTAGTGATGGGGAAATAAGCAGTGTTACTCCTGTGGTTTTGAGCCTCAGTCCCTGGGCCTCTGCTAGCCAGCTCAGCCCCACAGACCACCCTGCTTGCTGTCAGACCAGAAACAGCTCAGTTATCAGTGTGCTGAAAATAAAAACCGTGTGCATCTTCAATTTTGAGGGGGTGGACTGCTTTTTGCATAGTCTTTTTTTTTTTAACTACAGGAAAGAATTTTTTTTTAAATAAAATGTGTTCAAGCTATTTAGTTATCATATGATTTTAATTTCTTATTTCATGCAGAAAATGGGAAAGCTTAAAATTGGATGTATTCAAGTGAAAAAATGTTTTAATTCAGATTTTATTTATAGTTTTACAGTCTGAAACTGTCTTGGTTGAGTATTGTCTAAGTCCTTATGAGATTCTAAACCATATTCATAACTTCTAGATATCACATTCTGAAAAGAACCAGAGTAAATCTCAGATTTTTTGAAACAAAGCAACAACAACAAAAAATTGAATGGTAGCCTTATAATTTCAAACCTGTGATTTGTTTCTTTGAAAATTAAATGGTTGCTTTCAGAATTTAACATGATTTTCATTTTGGTCTCCTGAATTACAAACCAGGTTTTTTTTTGTTTTTGTTTTTTGTTTTTGGTGACAAATGAAATCCCTGTCAAAATATTTTAATAAGATGTATCTTTTTTTCAGTATCTTAAATAGTGAAGATGAAGAAATATTCAATAATGAAGAGCATGAATATGCATCCAAAAAAAGGAAAAAGGACCATTTTAGAAATGACACAAATACTCAATGTAAGATCATCTTCATTAATAATTTTATGATATTTCACTTGTTAAGGATGCTGGTGCCTGGAGTGCTTTGACATCAGTGCTGATGCAGGTATGTGAGTAGCAGCACCATGTCCATTGCTTCCCGCTGGCTTAGTGGTCAGGCTTTCACAGCTCAGCCATTTAGTTGAGTAAGTAGTAAGATTTGCAGCAGCAAAACAAAAGACAGCGAAACCCATAAAACAGCCTCTGTGTCTGAATGTGGAATAGCCATCCTGAATTCCGGTCAGTTTGCCCCCAAGCAGTGATGTGGAACCTGAGGTGTCTTGACTTTGGACTTTGGTTCAGGAGATGCTGCTGATTTGGAGCAGCAGGTGGAGGTGGTCACCACTGGAAGCTGTGCAGGATGGGTCCGGGGGTGGGGGACAGGGGCTCCGAAAGGCCCTGTGCCACTGGGAACATGTTAGTGAATTCCGTCATGGGCCTTGGAGGGTCCCATGGGGGATGGAGTCACAGTCTTCAAAGCTTTGGGGGTTTTTTTGTTAATTGAAGTATAGTCAGTTTACAAGGTTGTGTCAATTTCTGGTGTACAGCACATTGCTTCTGTCATACATGAATATACATATATTCACTTTCATATTCTTTTTCACCATGAGCTACTACAAGATATCACATATAGTACCCTGTGCTATACAGTATAAACTTGTTTATCTATTTTGTATATATCACTCAGTATCTGCAAATCTCGAACTCCCAATTTATCCCTTCCCACCCCCTTGCCCCTGATAATCGTAGTATGTTTTCTATGTCTGTGAGTCTGTTTCTGTTTTATATATGTTCATTTGTCTTTTTTTAAAATTAGATTCCACATATGAGTGATATCATATGGTATTTGTCTTTCTCCTTCTGGCTTACTTCACTTAGAATGACATTCTCCAGAGCCATCCATGTTGCTGCAAACGGCATTATTTTATTATTTTTTATGGCTGAGTAGTATTCCATTGTGTAAATATACCACAACTTCTTTATCCAGTCATCTGTCAATGGACATTTAGGTTGTTCCCATGTCTTAAGGTAGTGTAAGTAGTGCTGCTGTGAACATTGGGGTGCAGGTGTCTTTGGATTAAGGTTCCCTTTGAATATATGCTTGAAAGTGGGATTGCTGGATCATATGGTAAGTCTATTTTTAGTCTTTTGAGGAATCTCCATACTGTTTTCCACAATGGCTGCACCACAACGCATTCCCACCAATGGTGTAGGAGGGTTCCCTTTTCTCCACACCCTCTCCAGCATTTATTGTTTGTGGACTTTTGAATGATGGCCATTCTGGCTGGTGTGAGGTGATACCTCATTGTAGTTTTGATTCACATTTCTCTGATAATTAGTGATATTGAGCACTTTTTCATGTGCCTGTTGGCCATTCGTGTGTCTTCATTGGAGAGTTGCTTGTTTAGGCCTTCTGCCCATTTTTAGATTGGGTTGTTTGTATTTTTCTTATTAAGTTGTATGAGCTGTTTGTATATTCTGGAAATCAAGCCCCTGTCAGTCTCATCTTTTGCAAATATTTTCTCCCATTCTGTAGGTGGTGGTTCTGTTTTGCTTATGGTTTCCTTTGCTGTGCAAAAGCTTATAAGTTTAGTTAGGTCCCATTTATCTATTTTCGCTTTTATTTCTGTTGCTTAGGTAGACTGCCCTAGGAGAACATTGCTGAGATGTATGTGAGATAATGTTTTGCCTATGTTTTCTTCTAGGAGATTTATTGTGACTTGTCTTATATTTAAGTTTTTAAGCCATTTTGAGTTTATTTTTGTGTATGGTGTAAGGGAGTGTTCTAGCTTCATTGATTTACATGCTGCTGTCC